CAGTGACAGGACCCAAAGAATTGTGAGTTCAATACCTGGTTAAGGCAGTGGAGAACTTGTAGAGGTGAATTAACAGGAGATAACTGATAACTGAATCCATCAAACATGGCACGTGTAACTAGAACAGTCTACCCCAGTGAGCGAAATAAAGGGTTCAGTTCGACATTCCAACCACCTGAAGAAGGCCGGAGCGTACAACGGCCGAAACGTTGTAATAAACATGGCGACAAAGATGAGGACAATAGTCCGAATAATGTAAATATTGTATGCAATTTTATATATTTAAATTTTTTTCAAATTTATGAATTTAAAAAGGTGACATAAAATATGTAAATATTTTATATAAAATTTCTGAAATATCTAAATTATATATCTATAAAATTATATATCTATAAAATTATCTGAAAACTATCTATGAAAAATATGATAAAATTACATAAAAATATCTATAAAAAATATCATCTGGGGTGAGGATTTTAGGACTATCTTTTGTCAGGCGTCTGAGACGCGAATGTAGGGTAGAGAAAATCACTTAGCTGATACTTCCTTTCTCGACTAATCGGCCCTTCGTCTTAAGTGCTGGTCTTCAGCTATAGTATTAGTGGTTGAGTACCACTTAGAATTGATTATATCGATTTGTTGTTTCTGGCTTAGCGCTTAGCCAAGCAGAAGAAAAAAAAATCATCCTTACCTTTTACACTTATGAATATCCAAGTCTAAACTAATCGACTAGTTGTTGAGACGAAAAACGGCGAAGACAAGGTATTACAAATGGTTTTGCCGTTATCTCTGTGACGTTGTGAGATGCGTCTATGATAGGCTGAGACAAAATGTTCTTATAATACCAAATTTTCTTTGGTTTATTGTTTTTATATTCGTTGTTAACAGAAGCCAAGCCCGAAATCCAGTCGCATTTGTTACGTTCAATTACGCCCGAATTCCCATGGGAAACGTTTCAATCCATCTATTTTCTCCCTATTTATCGGTGGAAGATCAGGGCAGACTGAGTCCTATAGGCTTGGTTGGCAACTAGTCTACAACAGAAAGGAACTTACCGCGTGAAAATCTTTTGCTTTGTCAGTCATCCGAGAGACATGATCGCCCAATCGTGTATCACATGACATTCAAATGAAACTGTTATTTAGAGAAACAAAGTTTTAGAAGTTGCGGAGAGACATTTTCGCCGAAGCGTATATCAAGTTTGGCTCTTAACTGACTGATTATTTAAAAGAAGACAGAACTGAACTCCTGCACAAGATTCCATTTATTTGAAATCAGAGATGAAACAATTTCATTATTCGCTTTGACAAATTTTTCATAGTTGATTTATTTAAAAATAAATAAATAAATAAATAAATAAAAAGAGGATTACTGCTACATCATGTCTCTTCTTCATCTTTGAGGAGATTGTCCAACACTCACTGCCTTACAGAAGGACAGATATCACGTAATAATTTAGGCCTCTTTTCTTTGTTTCTAGCGAAGTTTTTCTATTTCTTTGGACTCTGCTTAGCTTTTCGAATGCTTCCTTGGCGATCTCAATGCGCCTTCAGATTTTCATGAGACGCCGGTTCCTATACTGTCACCGAAGTTAGGCAACGTCGAGACTAGATACGTAATTGCCAGGGAATACCAGGTGTTGCAAGCTTTGGATGAGCGGATTGCCTTACGGTCACCTCACGCTGAGACACCGGCCCTCGATTAAGCAATGTTGAACCTGATTAATGCCTATATGGGTGACGGTTAGGGAATACCGGGTGCTGCAAACTTTGGACGAGCGTTTATGTCTTACGGTGACATCACGTTGAGATAGCGGCTCTCAGATGGTCACTGAAGTTAAGCAACGTCGATCCTGTTTACTATCTTAATGGGTGACCGCTAGGGAATACCGGGAGCTGTAAGCTTTGGATGAGCTGTTATGCCTTACGGTGACATCACGTTGAGATATCGGCTCTCAGATGGTCACTGAAGTTAAGCAACGTCGATCCTGTTTACTATCTTAATGGGTGACCGCTAGGGAATACCGGCTGCTGTAAGCTATGGATGAGCTGTTATGTCTTACGGTGACATCACGTTGAGATATCGGCTCTCAGATGGTCACTGAAGTTAAGCAACGTCGATCCTGTTTACTATCTTAATGGGTGACCGCTAGGGAATACCGGGAGCTGTAAGCTTTGGATGAGCTGTTATGTCTTACGGTGACATCATGTTGAGATATCGGCTCTCAGATGGTCACTGAAGTTAAGCAACTTGGAACCTGGTTAGTATCTTAATGGGTGACCGCTAGGGGATACCAGGTGCTGTAAGCTTTGGATGAGTGGGTGGCATGTCTTACGTTACATAACGTTGAGACACTGGCTCTCAGATGATCACCGAAGTTAAGCAACGTCGAACCTGGTTAGTAATTAGATGGGTGACCGTAATAGGTGCTGTAAGTTTGGATGTGCGGTTGATGTAATGGATCATGACTGAGAATCTGAGAGCGGAGTTTGAATTCTTGTTGGGTTTGTTATATTCACCTACATGAAAAACCGCTGGGAAAGTTTTGAATCCATCTTATTTCACTCCAGCTTTGGGTTAATTAGTAAGTTGTGTATCACTAAAATCAGTATTATCTAAAAAAAAAAAATCTGACAATCCAAAAATATTTTCTCTCTTTAAATAACCCGCACATATTTGACGAGCCGTATAGAACGAATCCTTGAATTAATTATAACATTCTAAATTTGGATTCTCTTTTAATTAATCAGAACCTGAACTATGACCAATCACGATGAACGGATGTTCCCTCAGGGAGACCCCTTGCCTTGAACACTTATTGGAAGTTAAACTCACCCCAGATCTCAAGTGGAATTCGTATTTACTATCCATCGCTAAAGATGACTGCAAAATGGTCGCATCCCTCTACTGCTTCAGTAAGTACCTGACTCCTTGTGCTATCCTCTACCTTTCCAAGAGCAAAATCAGGCCGAAAATCGGATACTGCCGTCAGTCTTTGCCTTCCAGTCACAATGGAAGCCAGAAGCGTCTTTCTCACCAAGTCGCAAGCCGCTCTACACTTCAAGTCGAAGACCCACAACGCCACGCACATTTTGATGAACCATCCTCATCCCCTTCATATTCTATTGGTCAGATGAAGTTCCATTCGAGCAGGTTCTTCCCACGGACCGCTGCTTTTTGGAACCGATTCCCAAGAAGATTCTTCTCCGATCAATACAATCTTAACGTATTGACATCTAGGGTTAACGGTTATCATCCTGGGTTATCCGCATAAACTGTGCCTCTTACTCCGTAAACCTCTATTCCGAGTAGCTCCCGGGCTTTGTACAGGGTGAATATCAATGTAAAAAATATAAGCCAATAGAGACTAGAGCGTGGAGTTCGTTATCCTGTCTACAAGGAAGTCCCTCGCAATTACTCATAGCGTTGAAATGTCAGGTACAAATTCTGAACTTTACAGCCTTAAATGGCAGCAATAGCTAAGCATGTTACTTTATAGGAATGATTCGCGTAATGTTTCCATACAATAAATGCCAAGGTATTGTATCTTTACTCTCGTTGGATTCCAAATCCCGATCGAAATCCAGGGCCTTTTCCATCCTGTTGAACTGACCTCTGCCTGGCTGACCTATTTCTGATCATACTGGGCTATATGGGACCGAGGTGTCGTGTCAGATCGTCCCGTGATCCTGACTTTGGCCACCCACTAATTTTTTAATCCTTACTGTCCACTCTATAGCTATAATAGTCCACCTGTTCTCTCTGACATTAGAGACGTGGCCAATCCACGTTGCCCTTCTTGGTGCTCGTTGAGTTACGCATGGATAAATATACACCCGTACTGTACTTATTTAGATTATTTACATTGATCGGACTGTTCTCCTCAAATTTATTGTCACATTCACGTTGTACGGTCCGGCCTTCTTCAGGTGATTGAAGTTTCTAAGTGAACCCTTTTATTTCATCCAATTTCACCTGCCCGTGCCTCTTCTCAGTTATATCCCCGTTTTTGTTCACCACTGCAGTAGCCAGATATTGAACTCACAACCGTTTGCGTCAAGCCATTGAATCCGACCAACGCTTTTATCCACTGGGCCATGTGTACTTGAGGATTTCAATACTTGGCTATGGCAGTGGTGAACAAAAACTTGGAGAGCTGAGACACCCGGAAGAGGCCTGGCATGTGGAACTAGAACAACCGACACTAAACTCTTCAATTTTCCCTTCATTATTTGTTTCTTTCTAGCGAATATTTCTCTTGATAATAAATTAAAATACAATCCAGCAGACAATGTTATTTTATTTATTATTAGTAATTTCCTTACTCGATTTTCGTCGTTTTTATCGCGGTCGCCATCGCTTCTCGGTCTTTTGGCTAGGATCGAAGTGTAGTATCTGTTTTTATTAGGATCATCCTATTCTCTCTCTATTTCTTTCATTTTCTCACTGAGATCAAATAGTGTATTTTCCTCTCTTTACACGCGACCAAAACGTAATAGTCGATTATTTCTGAGGTATTGGCTAGGGTCGTGCGAGCTAACAAAGTTGTGGGGGGGGGGTGCAAGCAGAAATATAATAGGATAAAACGGGAAAAATAAAATTTCTGTTTAATTTGAAAACAAGATCGAATTTTACACAGGGTCAAATATTTTGCCATCATCATTCGTGTGGAAGTAGATAACCTATAGTGAAGAGAATAACAACGATGGAAATGGTAGAAACTATGAATGTCGGAAGAAAATATTTTTAATTCTCGGAAATGATTGCACAGCACAGCCTACTGGTAGATTGGCGTGAACATAAAGATGACATGCATACGTAAATGCGTAATTACGACTCGAATCACTTGGAAAAATGGGGGGAGAATTAGCGCTAAAATGAATCTACAATGTATTTGTGTATACGTCCGTATATTCTGCTATCTGTGTACATGCATCTGCTTTCCCACAGATTTGCATTTATTTAACGGGCGGCGTAATTTTCTGTAATTATTGCCGATAATGTTTCATTCGTTACAGGAAGTAACAAGAATGAAAGATGGCGGACGTGTTTCGTTTCGACTTCAGAAAGGCTTTCCACATTTAGCAGCGTTCATTTATACGTTGCTGCGCATTTAAAATATTGGCATCCGTGACAGCTTGCGTCATACACACACACACACACACACACGCACACCTACACACACACGTTAATATATATCTACACGTGCATACAGACGCGCACAACACACTATATATCTACACATAATACACACACACACACACACACACACATATATATATATATATCGAACAATAAAAAATATTAAAAAATTAAAATCTTCAAACACATTGGGTTGTATATTAATATTCCTTCGTTTTTATTATTATTTCATTTAGATTCCTCGACTAGTTTGGCCAACATGGCCATCATCAAGAGAAAAATAATATTCTGCTTTCTGTATATATATATATATATATATATATATATATATATCAGGGCATTACAAAAGAAACATGTAAAGATCGCTAAACAATTGCAGTCGTGTTACAACACATAACGATGCGTCTCCTCAGGCGATTGTAAACTACTGGCGAGTGAACGATTAATTTCGTTTCAAAAGCAAAATACATCCTCATTTTCTGAATTAAAAAAAAAAAAAAAAAAATAAAAGCTTCATCTTGATCAATCGATCGAATATGACCTATGTTAAATTCAAACTAAGTGAACAAGAAAAAAAATAGAAATTATTATCTTTCAAATGTGTCAAGGCAAAGGCTTGACATCTAACAGCAGCCAGACATTAACTTAAAGACTAATACAAATGGCTACAATAATTGTACACATGTCAGGCAGTCAAGTCTCTTAAGAAATAAACGCGGGGGTGGGTAGAGAGGTAATTTAACTGAATGCCAAATTAGTTATAAGCTTTGTGGATTTTCTACATAAAACTTTTTTTGTAGTTGATAAATAAGAGGCCGCTTTAAGAAACTAGTAAATAATCTAAATATATAGAATCATTTGGTATATATATATATATATATATATATATATATATGGAAAACCACCTTTCAGGCGTACAGTGTCTCATCACTACTATAAGTTTTATGCTTTTACACAATAGCCAGGCGGTCGAGAGTGCGAAAATAGTAAACTTTATTCCCACAGGCAAGTCTAGAAAAATATTGGGGTGGGGGATATAATTGTACGGCTGAAAGGTGATTTTTAATTTCGAAAATCTCTGCTATTTCATATGGTGTTGAGCACTTTTACTTTAAGGAGTGCATTCACGGCAGACACTTTTTATGAGCTACTTATTTCCATTAATATATATATATATATATATCGTGTACAGCCAGACTTTGTTTCATAAAGATCTATCTATCTATCTATCTATCTATCTATCTATCTATCTATCTCAACCTATTCATATATATGTCTATTCCTATCTATCTATCTATCTATCTATCTATCTATCTCAGTCTGTTCATATCTAAGTTTGTTCGTATCTATCTCAATTTGTTCCTATCTATTTGTCTGTCTCAGTCTATATTCCTGTCTATCTCAGCCAGTTCATATCTATCTATCTATCTATCTATCTATCTATCTATCTATCTATCTATCTATCTATCAATTTGCATCTACTGCAAGGAAATCTGTTTCGCGGCCGAAGG